TTTTCGATTTCCCCACCCACCCACCCTTTTCATTGCTTGTTGTCCGAGGTGGGCTTTTTCGCAAGTGAATGTTTTATTTTATTTTATTTTTTTTAAATTTTATTTGCTTTTTCTCGAATCGTTATTTTTCTTTATTAGCCTTTTTTTCGCGTGCATCGAATGATTCTTTCGGTTTCGTGATTTTCTTGCTAGTTTTGTTAGTTTTTATTGCATCTTGATGTTATTTTCAGTTTTGTGATTCTGCCTTTTTGTCTTGTTGGCTGGCGAACATGATCAGCAAAACTCATTGTTTCGTTAGTGAATAAAACGAAATTAATTATCCGCCAAAACTGTTGTTGTGTTTTGTTTGAACTGAGAGAATAATTAAGGACAGATCACATCATGCATGTCAATTGGTCTGAGCATCCTTATTTATTGTTTGATGGCAAAATGAAAGCCGTGGTGGGCAAGTTGACCGAATATGCACTCTGCTTATCTGCATTCACTGAAATATCCAAGTCTCAATTAACCTACCAAAAACTATACATCTAGAAATTCTAGCGAAGAATGTAAATGTTGGAAATCAGTGGATAGAGGGAGGGTATTTTTTCAGTGTAATGGAGCGTGTCTTCATGCAGTTGTGTGGCGAGTTCGAATCTCGTGTTTCATGTTTATACGTTTGTTCCTATAATTCCCATTTCAGTCTTCTTTGCAAGCAACCCTTCAGCTTGGGCTGGTTCCAAGGAATCCATGTGTAATATTGATGGGGTTGCAGTCTTACTGAAAAATTATGGAATCTAATACAATCGGATGATGAAATTGTGGCCTGAAATTACCATGACCCTTCTAACACGTCAAATTGAACTTTATTGATTTATTCAAGTTTTCTTAAATACGGCACTCGAAAAAATACAATGTATAAACAACAAAAACAACAATAATATATGAAATAAATAAAGCACACCTCCTATAAAATGGTAAACTACTAAAAATATCTACATTATCAGAGTTGTAAATGTTGTTAAATAGTCGTGGTACAGAGGGATAAAAAAATATTTCCGTAAATTTGTACAATAGCGAGGTGGTTTTAAAAGATGACGTGATGGCGCATGAAAATTAATTTTGGAAATAATGTAAGAAGAATAAAAATTGTTATTAAGAAATTTACAGATAAAAACGGCGTCAAGAAGTTTTCTCCGAGACTAGTGTTGTAAGATTAAAATGACTGCATATAAATTTCTTTTGGACCCGTTCGATCTTCGTGATCATAATGATCTGATGCGGCGACCAAATTTGGGAACAATAATCCAGTTGGCTTCTGTCGTGCGACTGAAACAAACTAATTAGACAGGCGGAACTTTTGAATTGTCTGTATGTCCCGTTTGATCGAGCCAAGCATTCCAAACGCTTTTGATGCAATAATAATATGGGTTATTATAGGTTGTGAGAATGACCCGGAATTCTTAATTGGGAAACGCCGCGGCGTTTAGTTATAACGCCATCAATATTAGTGAAGTTTATAATATTAAATTTCTTTTGATATAACTCTGAAAGACACGTTTTACACCACTCATGCACTATGGAGAGTGAAACGGTGACAATTGTTGATCATATTTCTGATTAGTTTTGCATCGTCAGCATATATAGAACACTGCGACGAGCTTACGTTATCACGCGTATGAACATAATAAAAAGTAGGAGCCCCAGCTGAGAATAAAGCCATGTGGTATACCGGACATTCGTCCAAAATGACGTGGTGTCTGAAAGAGCAAAGTTAGTAAGGATACTGTGCGATATTTGCAGGCATCAGAACGAGACCTAAAACAGGGACGACATTAGCCCGTTTAAAAATTAAGGAAACGTACACGTATTGATAGCATAATTAAAAAATAAACGGAATGCATAAATTATCAGCACTTTTCTGGAGAAAAGTGTAACAATATGATGGCTGCACTAGATTTATCGGATACCTACCTTTACACCCAAATGCATCCAGACAATCATTACCGATGCTACCTCAGTTTGTGATCAAAGAAACTAATTCAAAGTCAGGCTTTTGCAACTACTTGCCAGTGCACAGGGCATAATGATACAATATTATGACATATTGATTACTGGCTTTCCCATCAACACTGAATAGAAAAAGCTGAGACATGGTATGGATTATTCGCTGACATTTCTTCAGTCAGGGAAGTTTCTGGTCAATGTGTGGAAGTCGCATCACGAGTCAACCCAAACCCCAAAGCTAACCGAGATACCAAGTCTACCATTTCTACTCCTCTATGCCACAGATTATACTAGTATACGATTATTAAATCAGCCTACTAGTAGTTAAAAGCATATACAAGCATATACAAGGATGGTGAGGTTCATGAGCGGATTTAGAGGGGGGCGAGGGGGCCTCCCCCTATGTCTAACAACCAACAGGGCTTCGCGCCTTCGGCCAACTTATGATCGCCCCCCCCCCCCCATTCCAGAATCCTAGATCCGCCCCTGAGGTTAGGCTTCTATGAAAGGTTTGAAATGAGCTAGTTCAATTTCACGACCTAGACTTTTATCTATGTTATTAGTTCTTAAGTCATTCGAATCACGCAAAGGTAGACAATGTTCTTACTTGTCTTGTCCTCCGGGGAGTTGCAACGAATTATCTTTTAATGTTCATAGTCAAAACGAGGTAAATTCCTCTTCTGGCTGTGCCACACTCTCCAGATCAGTGCCAAACATCATAACGTAAGTTAATTGTGCTTTCCAGGACGGTGCAAAACATTTGTTTCGTAATACCTATTGGGTCTTACCCTAAACGCACAGATGTATTGAAGATTTCAAAACATTCTAGTATCTATTACACAGTGCAGATTACATATTATTTATTATATTAATTATCTAAACATCCTTATGGTGTTTGCATTAATGTATTGGTTTGTTTTAAATATTCGGCAATGTGAACAAGTGCTATAGTTGTAATTTATATACGTATATAATTCGTTACTATATTATTTATTAGCTGCTCGTATAACTTACATTTTTTGTTGGGAATCAAATGAACTCTCGCGATAAAAGATAGTTCTTCGTTTAAATACTCGTACTTTTATTTGGCGTGCCATAATTGACTCTGTTTTGCCTTGTTCTAGGCTTTACCTTATATAAATATATTCAACTGCTTGTAACCACTCATTTCTAAATTTTTATATTATTGAACATGAATGTGTTTGGCAGTTTCTTCTCCGCATTTGTTGAGATGTAATCATGGTAGTATGTCCATGCTGTAATATATCTCGTTTGTAAGGTACTGCAATTCATTGATATCTTCATCTGAGATGCGTGTCGTTAAAAAGAATATTGTGTTTCCATTCAGTCGCCACAGTCCTCATTAATTAACGATTTAACGCTGATGCCATTAGCTTCAATCGATTAGAAGGTGAAAATGATCGAATTGTCACGTGATACGTCCTCATTCACTCGTCGCTACCTGACCTACTAGTATTGACACCATCATGACGTCACGGGACTGGGTCGCCGGCAGCGGGTATCTAATTAGCATAAACAATTAAAGATGAAAGGGCTCGTGATTGTAATCTTGGAATGCAATGGCATCATGCGTTACGTCACATAGACAGCACAATGTCATTGTGCTGTATTTCTATCTTTGCATAAATGTACATTACGTCAAGTTGACGAAACGACCATTGTCGAAATATCCGTAAACGCATATATTAGAGAAAGAGATGAATATAGCACGTGAATGAAAAATACTATAGCTAGTGCGCATGTCTAAGAGCTCGCTGAACCACGCCAGGCCTACCTTCAAATGTATTTTAACCTCCCCTCATCACAGCAAGCAATACCGGCATAATGAATGAATAGAGCATGAATAGATCGTGTTTGGTCAGTGACATTGTATATAGCCAGGGAGAACAGCGTTCGTGTCACGTGGTCGGCAATATTGTGAGGTTGTCATGTACATCGAATTCCGTATCTATTTCTGGTTAGCTTTCCAGCTGTTGTATTGCTTACCATGTAGTGTGATCAGTGTGTCAGCGAGTGTGGTCAATGCACGGTCAACGCGAACACGTCCTCCGAACTTCGTCCTGATGATGGCGGACGACTTGGGAATCGGCGATATCGGTTGCTTTGGTAACGGTACGATGCGGACTCCTAACGTCGATAAGATCGCGGCTGGAGGAGCCAAATTGACACATCACATATCAGCGGAATCTCTGTGTACACCTAGTCGTGCGGCCTTTCTAACTGGGCGCTACCCCATACGATCAGGTAAGCATGTGGCCATGAGTATAAACTCATAGTGGTCTGTGGTATAAAGCTAATTCGCAGGTGAACGCTGCTTTCGAAGAGCACCCTTTCTGTTAAGTTTTCATGCACGACGAGAACATTAAACGTTAGAATGTTAATATTTTAAATAAGATAAATAATCACATAACTAGAGTGTTATCTCATACCGATATGTTGTCCCTATATTTTTGTGTGACACCGAATGAACCGCGGTGATTTCTCTTCACTATTAAATACTGCGGTTTTCTGCCACAATTTTCAATGGCGAGGTTGTCAGCTGTACTCGGTGTGTACTCGCGCCTTCTATTGTACTACGTACGTACCGGTCATTGTTAATATGAATACATAGCAGTGAATGGTTGAATTGCTTAAACTATAGTTCCACATTACGGTTATATTATGCTACCATTTATTTTAACCGTCATCAACAGAAAATATAATTAAAATTTATATTCTATTTAATAATTCAGGAGTGCATGATGTCATCGGAGCATTGTGCGAAAGATAAATAACGTCACGGCGCTCGTAAAATGAAAATATTGAACATTGGAAATAACAGATTTGTAGTATTATGGACACAAAAATTACAATTTGGCAAATACGTGAAATGTTCATAATATGCCTATATAAATCCATAAAACAAGGTATGCATAATTCATTACTGTAGCCATTTCGATGAATATATGAGATCATTTTCGAAGTTGTGGTGTCTTTATTGTGTGTCTTTGGGAAATAATAAAATAATGGCGACTATTGAAATACAAAGAGTTGAACACAAGACATCTGAAGCATTTAAGATGATTACTCGCAGCTCTCATAGTGTGGATCTATTTTCATTCTTATTCATTCCCTATCATCGAACCTTTGTGTTTTCACACGAAGTATGATGTACAGATCCACACACATCGTACAAATAACATCAAGACATGGAAATTGAATCATGATGTTCTAGTAAAATTACGATTACCTTAATTTTATAAACCATGTTTTGATTATATATATTCCATGGGGATATTTAAGTCAAGGCATGTAAAGGTGTTCAGGTGATAGATGAGACAGATTCTCAATGGTGGCGAAGTTACAAGATCAACCAATCACAAAATATGTCGTTTTCACAGGTCAAGGAGCTCACTCCACTGCTTCCTGTCAACGTCACAGTGTTGAAGCGCTTTTCAAAATGTGAATTTCTACTTGCCGTAAATCGACATTGACGTTTAAGACAAAAACGAATTGTAAATCGGTGTTATAAATGTCGTAATCTGTCAATCCGTATGTGGTGTAGCCATGACATGACATGAAAACAGTGTTACCAAGTAATCTGCTACATGGACTATCAATTTAAATTACTACCTAACAGTATAACACTTAAAGAGTACTTCAAATTGGCACGAGTCAACTTTTTGAATCGAGCTAACGAAGCAATGCATTTTATCATTTCATTTACAACATGACGGCGTTGTTATGACAACCAAATGATGTACTACAAATCTACGATGTTACTGTGTGCACAATGGGCTTTCTTTTAAAATGTATACGACGGTTGTTCTGACAACGACAAATGCACACGTGTTTCGTGGCCTTGTCAATGAGCAGAACGTATGTGACAAATAAAGTGACTTAGACGTGGGACATCTTTGCCATAAACTCACAACCAACATACTGTTTTTAAATAATATAATGCATATAATCAGTATACTCATTACTTTGACGTTTCACAGGAATGGCATCGGACAGAGTACGAGTGCTGTTATATTTATCTAATAGTGGTGGTTTACCAAGAAATGAAACAACGTTTGCAGAAATCGTCAGCAAAGCGGGCTATGCCACTGGACTGATAGGTCGGTACACCAAACACAAACAGCAATTCGCTACGTGACTTTAAGAATTAAATAATACGACGCATTGAAATGGTGTGCACGTTGATTATTTACCATTATTATATATTTAATATTTTACAGGTAAATGGCACCAAGGTCTCAATTTAGAAAGTTCCAGTGATCATTATCATCATCCATTAAACCAAGGTTTTGAGTATTTCTACGGACTACCACATTCAAACATGCAAGAGTGTGATCTGGTTTCAGAAAGTCAAGTTATTCAAAATCGTTACCCAAACATTTACCGCCATATTGTGTTGATTGGTTTGCTTACCGTTACAACGCTGTTGTTGTTGAAAGAAATGACACTAATAACATGGAATGCCGTGATTGGCTGGACTGTTACCATAGTAATATTAACTACTCTGCTTATTGGCATTGTGCGTAACAGTGGAATGTTTAATTGCGTTTTAATGAGGAATCATGACGTCATTGAGTTGCCTGTGCAGCTTCGCACGCTGACGTCACGTATGACCAGAGAAGCAGTCAATTTCATCGAGCAGAATAAGGAACGCCCTTTCTTACTATTTCTCGCATATCCTCAACCACATACTGCTTTGGTTCCATCCGATAAGTTTAAAGGAACTAGCAAACATGGTCACTATGGTGACTGTGTTGAAGAAATGGATTGGAGTATAGGGTCGGTTTTAGATACCCTTAGTAGACTTGATCTCTATAACGATACAGTTGTGTATTTTTCATCAGACCATGGCGGACAAGTAGAACTCAACGATCAAGGGGGGTGGAATGGAATTTATAAAGGTAACGGATAACTTTATCATTCAAAGCATGCCAAATAGAACAAGACATGCATGGCACAGTCCCCGTTGGTTATCAAATTTAAAATATATAGTTTTGTTTATAGTAATATAGTTGAAACATGTCAGAAGTATGGATCCAGAAGACGATGCTTGATTTTGATGATTTTTTAACATTAAAATGATTGACATCTTGTATCTGATCGTCTCCATATTGAAAAATATCGCCCTGGAACAGCATAAATTGAAACAAAATGGTCACCAGTGCGTCCGAACCGGGACTAAAAAGATGCAATTGATACAGTATTGTTCATAAATGGTCACTATAATACGTTCATACCAATACCACTCAATTCACATAAACACAAATTAAAACTGTTGTTTTGAATTTTACAGGAGACAAACCCACTGTCTATTACCTACCTATCGAACACTGTTTTCTTACCAACGTCTTCATGCGATATTGATTTGACTGAAACCTCGTCTTTTTATTTGCCTGTACTTTATAAGTAGGATTACTCGGGCGTTATTAATAACTGTAAACATTTGTTACATGGAAGATGTTGGCAAAACAATGTTCATTTCACTAGTACGTTGGCATGTACATGTATGTGCGTTATACACATGGGAGTTCAACATGTATGCTGAGTCCTTATAAGATCGAACCTTTACTTTCGCAGGAGGTAAAGGCCAGACAACTGAAGGGGGTATTCGGGTACCTGGAGCAATACGATATCCTCGTATGATCCCGAAAGGAACCGTCATCAATGAACCGACGAGTTTAATGGATATACTGCCCACACTTGCCACATTGTCTGGTGAATCACTTCCTTCTGATCGAGTCATAGATGGGCAGAATATAATGCCATTGTTGACGGCGAGAGAGAAAGTCTCGCCACATAAATTCCTGTTTCACTACTGTGGTAAAAAAATCCACGCTGCCAGGTACAGACCACGTTTTGGTGAGTACCATACATAGCTACTCTGTTATTTACTACAAATGATACACGTCTATTGTTATAAAAATGCACCAATCGTACTTATTTATAATGTTTAAAAATATCCTTGAACTTCCACGGAGCCCGACAATTCCCGGGGTAAATGTTTTATAATTTCCATAAACTGTTCATGCATATATGAGAAAAGTGTAATGCGTGTGTCTTTATATCAAACACAATATAGATTGTTCTTTATCTTAAGGTAATGCAACATATAAAGCATACTTCGCAACACCGAATTGGACGCCCGGGACGTATGGGTGTTTTGAGACGTTAAACTGCGCCTGTCATAAATCAATCCACCACGATCCGCCACTGTTATACAATCTGTCGCTTGACCCTCGTGAAGACAACGCCCTCAACGTTTCAGATGTTAAGTACTCTGATATCGTGAATAGGATAAAGGACGCAGTGGCGGAACACAAATCCACGATTATTCCAGTACAAGACCAATTAATATGGACAAACATTATACCGAAACCATGGTTACAGCCAATATGTGGACTACCGCCATTTATAACTTGCCAGGAATCTATTATGTCATAAAGTTGTGCAATGGTTTATACATGGCAGTTCACTGTGCGTTCACTTGATATGCACAATACTGGACTTTTAACTGAAATATCGTGACATAATTTAATTGATAATGGACTCTTTGTAAATTTGTTCTGTCACTTCCATGTTGAACTGCACTAGTTGTGATGGGACTAGTCATTAATCGGAATCATTACTAATAAGTATACAGTGTGAAATGTGTATGTAAATTCATCGACCCTTTAGACATATTTATAATGTACATGATTTCCTTTGTGTCCCTAAATATGCATGTTGACACACTGTATCATTCACTTTAGTGCAATACTAGGCTTGTTTTGATATGGGACCAATATACCTTATTACTACGCAGTATTATATGCCATTCCATAAAGTACGAGACAATATGAAAACTGCGATGATTTGACATATTTTAAATATGGTTTAATTTAATTCCATTACATTGGTAACTTAAAGAAACAGTGTAATCGTTTTGTTTGTATGTAATTTGTGTCACGGAAAAGGCGGTCTTTCATTATGTATGTGTTAACTAATCCACTGCTGGTTCAGGGAATTTATTGTGTTTATTAAAGACAGTATACATGGTACTGTAATTATGTTTATTGCGTATTTTCACTCTTCTATGTATAAACCGTTCCGAAGATCTGGCCCCCGGTATGTAACAATCGTTCAAACCCACCGAGGACGCGCATTTTTTTTTTAATCTACTAGACAACTACATACCCCAAAAGAATTACCTGAATTGTTTCGCTCAAATGGTTGACATTTAGTTTGTCTACACAACTCCAATGAATATACAATGTATGTGTTATATGTGCTTCTGTAGTTATTCATTATGTTTTTAATGAAAAATAATAGTACAATTGTAACAATAGTGTATGCATTCAGTCACAGCAACGTTATAACATTGTTCAAACTAACTTATCATTTGATAATCTGAAAATGTTATTTTTATATCATTCATATGGCTCTATGATATCAATCTAATACTGATTGGTACATATAAATTTGCACATTAAGTTATGAGAACCAATGTCTAACTCGCTGCGGTAAAAAAATAGCAATGTTTTTTATCGTCAGTGTTGCCTTTCTTGTTATCAACATTCAGGAATTATAGGTCAAAGGTAAGCTCGGTCAAAGTGATATTCTTTTTGTGGGGGGGGGGGGGTATTGTACCTGTTTTTCGGCTACGGAATTGGTGGCGCTGTTAATAGTACGAGACTACTCAATTCTCATGTGATGTTACTCAACTATATTAATTTGTCCACCCTATAGTCAACATCATGTAGTTTCACTATATTCAGTGGAAATGTCACGTGTTTAATGTAATTTGAGGCCACCTTTGTAAAATTAAAATTGTAATTCAAATGTTGAAGCCGATATAACACTGGCAGATTGATCCCTAACCGTGTACTTTGAACTGCATCGCTCACATTGCCACAACGTGTCGTGTCTCAGCCATTAACGATGAACCAGTGATTGTACATGCGGCCCCCAATAATCCGAGACCAGAAATAAGTAGGTAGGTACAGAACACTGTATGATAAATGTTTGAATGCAAATGTAATCAACGAAACTTACGAGTAATGATTTATAATACTTGCAGCTTACAAGCAGCAAAATCAGTCGCTCCAGGGTTTAGGTAAAATCGACCCCAAAATCAATAACATTCAACTGAAGGTAGGCGGGGGGGGGGGGGGTCACATGAAATTGTTCTTGGTGGCGGCATTTTTTGGAGTTGAAGTGTATGTCTTCTTTGACATTTTAGTAACATATCTGTACTATGTTTGTATTACATTTGCATTATGTTCGTAATATATTTGTATTATGTTTCGAATATATATGTATTCTGTTCATAACATATTTATATGATTTTTACATTATGTTCATAATATTTGTATTATATTTTTAATATATCTATATGTGTTATGTTCGCGTTATGTTCATAATATATCTGTACTATGTTTGTATTACATTTGCATTATGTTCGTAATATATTTGTATTATGTTTCGAAAATATATGTATTTTGTTCATAACATATTTATATGATTTTTACATTATGTTCATAATATTTGTATTATATTTTTAATATATCTATATGTGTTATGTTCGCGTTATGTTCCTAATATATCTGTATTAAGTTTGTATGTCTTTTGCAATGTGTTATAGCATATTTGTATGATTTGTGCATTATGTTTGTATTACCTTTGAATTATGTTCGTAATATATTATGTATTATGTTTTTTTTTGTTTTCTCAGATGCCACTAAATATGTACGTCACCATTACTTTTCAACTGACGTTAGCGGCGCTGTTTTCATTTAACCTGGCAATCTCAACTGAAACCAGTCAAAAACCAAATGTTCTTATATTCATGGTAGATGATTTGGGAATTGGTGATCTTGGTTGTTATGGCAACGATACTATCCGGACTCCAAATATTGACTTGTTGGCCAGTGAAGGTGTCAAACTGACACACAATATAGTTCCAACACCTATCTGTACCCCCAGTCGTGCAGCTTTTCTGACTGGAAGGTATCCAATCAGATCAGGTATTATAAGACACTTTAACCTATATCCTGCGATCCAGGACACATCGTGAAATGATTTACGTATTCATTCACGGCATATGTTAACAATTATAACTTTATAATAATTTATTATTGTTATTATTATTATTATTATTATTATTATTATTATTATTATTATTATTATTATTATTATTATTATTATTATTAATATTATTAATATTATTATTATTAAACTTTCTTTGACGAGGTTAACGTATTGTCCTCGAGAAAACACATTACTGATATATTACAAATACTTGTATAAATACACGACATAAAAGCACTAAACATCTAAAGACATTCACACAGACAAAAAGCCTCAAACAATTCTTTAAAACATCTTGATTTAAAAAATAGTGTCTGACTGTTTACCAAATGATTTCTAATCTAAAGATTGTTAGCAACTTGTCGATTATCAAAATATTATATTAGTTGTTATATTTGATAACTGTCGATATTTACATGGTTGTAGGTTTGGGAACAAGTTCAGCGTTTATATGTGCAGGTTGTAGTGCTGGAATGCCGACACAGGAAGTTACCATTGCAGAAATGCTGAAAGATGTTGGTTATGCTACGGCAATATTAGGTATGTTTTTTACTCCACGTCATATTCATTCATTCATTCATTCATTCATTCATTCATTCACGTTTGGTTTCAGTAACTTCAGATGCAGAAAAAATAATCATGTATTTATTTATTTTACATTTATTCATTGTATTGTCAGCCAATTGCCTGACGATATAGACGAAATTAAATTAGTAGCAACAGTGAAACAGCTCAGGGCAGCCCGAAATGATATTGTTAAGAGGGTAGTGACGTAAGCAGTGAAGTTTTAGTTACAAGGCAGTGAAATCAGTGTGAACAGGTGTGGTCAGTGTGAATGAACAGTGTGAACAGGTGTGGTCAGTGTGAATGAACAGTGTGAACAGGTGTGGTCAGTGTGAATGAACAGTGTGAACAGGTGTGGTCAGTGTGAATGAACAGTGTGAACAGATGGTGGAAATTATTTGATGACTTGGTCTACTACTTTAATTAAATTGAAGTAACAACATGTAGTATAAAGTAGGTATTACCACGCGTTAGCGGGATGTCATTTCGGGCTAGCTCTCACGACACCCAGCTGTCGACACCAACACTCATCCTTAACAAACATTGCTCAAATCAATATGCAGTATATATTACTTGAAAGTACAAAAGTCAAACCACTATAAAACATTCAACGTTCAAATATATTTTTGTTCGTTTAGGTAAATGGCATTTGGGAATACACAGTGAAGAACAAAACAACGAATTTCATCCACTAAATCAAGGATTTGATTATTTCTACGGTACACCGCTAACAAATCTCAACGAATGTGCCAATCCGTCGAATGGCCGAGTCAGCATACTTAACGACAAATACTACCAGACCCTTTCCGCCTATACGGCGGCGTTTTACACCGCGGTTTCACTCGTCCAGATATTAGGAGCTATTGTTGGAAAACCTCTTAAGTTCATATTCGTTGTCGGAACAATTGTTATTCTACTGTTTGTTATATATCCTTATATGTTCCCCCGATTTCTGTGTTTGTTAATGAAAAACTATGACGTCATAGAACAACCCATGCAATTAGAAAACATGACCCTTCGCTTGACCAAACAAGCCCAGTCTTTTTTGACCGACAATGTGGACAGACCATTTTTACTTTACATATCGTATTTAAAAGTACACACTGCATTATTTACATCCAAGAACTTTACTGGAGTAAGTAAACACGGACAGTATGGAGACAATGTAGAAGAAATGGACTGGAGTGTTGGAAAAATTCTTGGTAAGATAGACGAACTTGGACTTCGAAATAATACCTTTGTATACTTTATGTCTGACCACGGAGGTCAACTTGAGGAGACATCAGTCAAACCAGGTCGAGTTGGTGAACGAGAAGGAGGCTGGAATGGAATATATAAAGGTAGTATAAACGTTATGTTACCTAAAGGGTAAAGCTCTTATTTATTAAAATAATCGTAGAACAAAAATCATTAGTGTGTATAACAGCGAGTTGTAATATATAGTGGAAAACTACTAAGATTGAAAAGACGGCCTTCATAGCTAACATACGTCCAATAATACATTGTAGCACCAGGCAGCAAATAACAGCCAGTAACATCGTTTACTTAAATCTACTATACTGTAAAATACGTCTTTTTAGCTAGCATGTAATTTTATCTAATTTAGCTAATCTGTAATTTCACTAATTCAAGATGTCGCTAATTTGGAATAAAGTATATTCTCACAATGAGATTGTTGCCATTTTAGATAAATTAAGATTTAGTTAATTCATGTATTGAGTGAAATTCGCTAAAAATGGCATGTAGCTATTTCAATGTTTTACAGAATATCATGAAAAGCTCACTGAGATATACGCATCACCTAAACTGATTATATCATGTGATTTTCAACTACAGTCTAGATCATCGACGGAGATGTCAGTATTAACCACTGCTCCATTGACCTACTATTTGCTTATTTGTAATCTTTTATATACTAGGTGGTAAAGGCCAAGTATGGGAAGGAGGGATACGAGTTCCTACCATTGCCAGATACCCAACACTGATTCCTGCAGGGAGTGAAATATCATTACTTACGAGTAGTATGGATTTCGTACCTACAGTAGTTGCATTAACAGGTGCTCAATTGCCACGTGATATCATCATCGACGGCGTGAACATCCTGGAATTGGTCTCTGGAATGACAACAGCGCCGCCACACGAATTTCTTTTCATGTATTGTGGGGTTTGGATACACGGCGTTACATATCGCCCTAAGTACGGTAAGATGAATCTTAATATCGTCGATAATGGATGAAACTAGTTCTCATCTATAACACAAGTCTAGTTCATTATGCAGGCATATGCAACATAATTACACAGTCACTGTGGGCAAAAACAATACAGGAATTATGTGTGTAAATAGAAACATAATTTACTGGAATGATAACAAGAACGGTTTATATGAATTAATTATGTAAAACAGTGGGAATTGAGGCAGATAAAACTGTTGCCAGGGCAACAAAATAAATTGTGACGTGATTCATTTTTATTCAATTCTATATTCAATTCAAAACGAATAATGTCAATATATTACTATATAAATCATGCCTTTTACGAAAACTAAATATCATTGTTTGTTTTTCATTTATTGCAGGCGGTTCAACTTTCAAAGTAGTTTACAGGACACCAAATAGGACACCGGGAACAGAGGGTTGTCTGTGGTTATGTCGATGCAGTGAAGAGCACGTAACCAAACATGATCCTCCGTTAGTCTTTGACTTAACCAATGATCCCGGAGAAAAACGCCCTCTGGAGATAACAGATGATGTGAGAGATATCATAGAACGTACCAGAGAAGCCATTGAAAACCACAATAAGACAATTGTACCAGTTGAACCACAGTTTACCTTTTATAAAACAGTGATCTGGTCTCCATTTAGACAGCCATGTTGTAACTTTCCGTTGTGTTCGTGCCAAGAAGTGGACGAAGCTTGAAACTTCTAATGTTGGAATACTATATACACTGAATACATACGAAATGTCACATGACTTGTGCAGATACGTGTTTCTTAGTCTGATAATTATTGAATTATTCGTTTTTAATGGGTGTATTGTTGAACTTATAACTTGCATGTTTAAAGCAGTAAAATATTGACATTTTGCGACAATTTTCAATGCTGCATATATTATGCATACATAGTAGTGAATGGTTGAATATAATTGCTTAAACTTAAACTATAGTACCACATGCCGCTTACATTACGTCATTTTTTTACTTCTTTTTACAGAAAAAAGGAATTTATGTAATTTAATCACACTATACTCAACAAGTACATGTTACACATGGAAATAAAGTTAATGTTCTGCAGAAATATATTGATTGCCGGAAATAAGAAATATTAGCAGAGGTCATATTGTGGTAGCCCGCCTTAATTTGCATAATTTGTCTTAAAGGATGAATGAATGCCATCATTTTTTTATTCACTTGATATTCGTTGCATTCGATGTGATCGGCAATTAAATGTAGGATACTATTCTGCAATAATACTACAGATCCGAGATAAATATTTTGAGATATCGATATTTTCATGACATTTTACGATGATTTGAAATTTTATCCAGAATAAATACAGCCAAAACAAGGTCAGCTTGGACGTTCACTTGCGAGACATAACAAAAAAAAACGCAGGCAGTGATACATTTCGAAAATACAAATACAAAATAAACGCAATCAGAGGCGCCGACCACGCGCGTTGGAAATAAATAGAACGCGTTGTGACACAGTCTTACCAGCGTCTTTCACTCACGCATTATAATAATGCTATTTCCCAACGCACTTATATTTAATACATTGACGAAAAACACCACAAAAAAATGCAAATCAAGCTTGTAATTACTAGTAACTCAACTCGAACGCAATATTCATCACTGTAAAAGTGGATAAATTCGAACCGGCCAGCTCATGACCGGAGACGTCCGGTCGTCTTCGTTGATAACTCGCCAATTCACCACAATCGTGGTGGTAAACTGTTTAGCTGATTTTTCAAAAGATGGATAATCAATTCATATTCATCCCAACTTATTTTAATATTCTTTCTGAAATTTGATACATTGTTAAAAAATCCTGTATATGTCTGATGTCAACTAATAACGCAATTATCCAGGCAATACTAGAAATTATTGCTGATACTAATCATGTTTTGTTTGGGAAGTTGGATACTTGAACGTGTAGTTCCCGGGCGTGTAGTAGACGAGAATAATCGTACTGTCACATGTTTTTCGTCTTAACCGTCGCAGTCTGCTTCATTGAATGTTTAGTTTAATAATTGATAAACATATATTCAGTGTGAGACTGTTGCTTTAAAGTTGTGTTAATACAAAGATGATTTAAACTTTCCCTTCCGTTGCCAACGTATTCAATATACGGAAATAGCATGTGTGTGCGTTTGCGTGAGTGAAAGATGCAGGCGAGATTTCTCGTCGCAACGCGTTCTATTTATTTCCAACGCGCGTGGTTGGTGCCTTTGATAGCGTTTATTTTGTTCTTTCATTCGCGAAATCTATCGCTGACACCGTTTATTTTGTCATGTCTCACAACTGAATGTCCAAGCTGACGGCTGTAAAGTATTTAAATCATATCACATCTTGTTATACCATACTATATTATATTATATAACATCTTATCTTATCATATTATTATTACATTGTAGTACAGTAACAAAACAATTTAATGTTTACAGTTATGTACCAATCTATTAGATAGATTATATACAAGCCATTGTTTTTTCGTGTATACCTGTGTATAACTACTATTGTAAACATTAACCATTTTTCCCATTTAAGTTACAACTCTCCGGCTACTGTCGTCCATCTCTTACCATAATAAATATCCTAAAATTACACTTGATAATTAATTAACATTTCTATTGTGATCCTCTTTTGAATTCATAGTTTTGTATCAATATGAACAATGCTAGAGGTGTTACGTCTCCATCATCTGATATGACTCACTTTATTATTATAAGTAAATATAATTTCTTCGCTATACATCGATGCACAGGCAACCTAAACATGACATGTGTGTTAGTTGATTCACGAAAAGCAATCAGACATAGGATTGGCGAATCGATGACACCCGAAGACGATGCCAAATCACTAACGACACTACAGAACTGTTCGGTGATGTTTGGCTATTGGTAAAGCAAGAACCACAGATACTGCATTTATTACATATCAGGGTAATCTTTCATACAGACACTGGGTATAGAAAAACGCTAATAAAAAATGTGGCCGGTGTTATACACGAAAGTAAAAATCATTTCCATATGGTGTATGACTGACCACATTTGGATCGACCACACTTTGGCTTGAATAAGACATATCAGATTTATATTAGACACGTTTGGTGTACAGTTGGCGTCATTTGTTTGATGTAGAACTAGTATGGCCGCATTTAGGATTGGTCACATTGGTCTAGAACATTTCGCCTTCTATTTGTCACATTTTGTCTAGGATTGGTGATATTTGGTCCAGGAGTATTTGCAATTGGAATATTAATATCGAAAAGTGTTGAAATCAAAATATTTTACAGCTGATACTGTTGATTGTAATCTCAAGTAGTTGTACGTCCCCAAACAGTCAGTAAAGTATTCACGTTTTCCGACCACAAAGTCATAATTATAACTTATCATCTCTGTCGTTACATCAAAATTACTTAAGAATGAGACTCAGGTTCGAGCTCACTTATTTTCAGACTTGTATTTCACAATGAATATGGCATTTGAGCGTAAATATTTTATATATTTTTTTATAAAAATTAATTGCTGCTGTTTCTCAATATTTGTGATTATATTGTTGTTTTCCATGAAAAATGTGTGTTTTTGTATTCTCCACTCGAAATAGCCATACACAAACCAGACAGGAGTTGCAGACTACCCGTCTAGTGTTGTAATGTCATGTCGCTGTATTCAAAATGATAAGAATCATAAGGACCATTTGCTTTTCCAAGGTCTATCAGGAGACCGATTGGTCAGGACTACAGTGGAATGAAGTGGAAAGCCCTGTGGAATTCAATGAATTCAAAGACTATGGCTCATATTTGAATGACAATGCCGATAAAACTTGAACTAGAACTACTACTGCAAAATGGTGTACATCTATACTAGTATGTGGCAAACAGTACAACTACTAGTATTTGACATTAATCAAAAGCATTGTCATGTATGCGCTCGGAACCAGTGTTGTACCACTATCTGTTTATGACAGTGTCGTATAAATCCCTGGTTTACAGAACTTCGGACGTGAAATTTGAACGAAAATTGGAGGACTGATTATCATAGAAATAAGGAAAAGCCCAAATAAATTTAACACTGCATTTGGTACCAGAAACCAAATATTACTTTTGTTGCATGTTTCAATGCTTTAAAAGATGTCTGGGCAAATACGAACAGCTAACATTTCTAAAACACAGAATTTAATAATAAAATGAGATGTGATAAAACTAATAGTTAAAGAAAAAATAACAATTTTCACACACAATGGAACTAAAGGACAATAGACAACTTTAGGAAAAAGTAGAGCAAATCATGACAGAAAACCCCAGGGGGGAGCATGCAGAAGGAACAGCATAATATCGAATAGAGTTTTTATAAAAACTAGTGATATCCTGTCAGGGCAGCACAGTTATTACAACATTAATTATGTTAATTAGGTGATTAATAAGCATAAATATTTACCAAAAACTAATTGGGTCTCTGCATAGTTCTCTTTAAAAGTTTCATTAAAATCCAATTCGGGGTTATTTATATATCAGTGGAACATTATGCAAATTAAGTAATTTATATTCAATTAAAACGAATCAGGTCTCTGCATAGTCCTAGAAGATCTATGTAGCAAGTCTCATTGAAATATGATGATTATTACTTGAGATATCAGGCAAAAAGCTGAAAATTAATTAATTATGCAAATTAGGTAATTAATATGTACTCATATTACCCTAAAAACTATCAGGTCTGTGCAGTGTCCTCTGACATCTATGTACCAAGTGTCATTGAAATGTGATGATTACTTTTTGAAATATCAAAAGCTGAAAATTAATTAATTATGCAAATTAGGTAATTAATATGTACTGATATTACCCTAAAA